AGCCTCTACAGAAAAAGGATGAAGACCAAGATAAGAACTGAAAAGGAAAGGAAAGACTTGAGTTTTTCACTGAATCAAAAGAATACTGAACAGGATCCAAATGTGAGAGCATGTATTTTATTGTGATCCAATGTCCTTGCTTATGTTCTTTTTGATTCTGGAGCTTCACATTCTTTTATCTCTACATCATTCATCACTAAGTCTAATAATGCATGCGTGAAAACAAATGATGCTTTAGAAGTTAGCATTCCTTCACGAAGAACTCTTTGTACGAATAAGATAACTAGAGCTATTAAGTTAGAGATTGACGAAAAGGTACTAGAGATGGACATAGACCTTTTAGATATGAAATATTATGGCATTATATGCATGGACTGGTTGGGCCATAGTTAGTGTTGTCAATGGGCCGAGTCGAGCCGGCTCGGCCCTTTAAGCCACGAGCTCGGCTCGGGCTCGTGGAGAAACGAGCCACGAGCTCACGAGCCGAGCAGCTCGTGGCTCGTTTGCTCGTGGGCGAGCTCGGTTCAACCCACGAGCTCGCGAGCTCACGATCCGGTTCGGCTCGTGGCTCGTCAAATTTTTATTTTTTATTTTTCTTAGTTTATTTTTTATTTTTAAATGTTTTTTCACGAGCCCACGAGCTCGGCTCGTGGGCTCGTTCCCACAAGCGCTCGCCTCTTAACGAGTCGAGCCGAGCCGAGCTCGTCTATGAACCGGTTCGCTTGGCTCGAGTTCGAGCCCGAGGGTTCGTGGGCATGAACAGTACGAGTCGAGCGGTCGAGCCGACGAGCCGTTCGACTCGATTGACATCTCTAAACAGACGAGTAAGTAATGAATAATTTTTTTTATTTAATAAGTAAATTATAATCTATTGATAAGTTTAATAAGCATTCAATTGATTAACACGTGTATTTAAATAAAGGCATGACTATTGAGGTGTCCCCACTCATCGTTAATTTGATAATTAAATTATGCATGCTCCTGATGCAACACCAACAAGATTATAATGCTGACTTTTATTTGGTGTCTATTAGTTCAAGGTGATAACATAAATGACGAGATCAGTTAAAGTGGGATTGATCCTCGGAATTTTGAGGTTTTAGGCGATTAATTATTATGAGACATTTAACATATTTCTTTTAGAAGCGTAGGTAAATAAATAACATATTTTATATTTTTAATGAAATTTTGGTAAAATCCCAAAAAATAGCATATCTTCGAGAACTCAAGAAATTAGAGTACATAACATTTGAAAAAATAATCTCGATAAAGTATTATTAGAGTGTGAATAATAATCTCCATGAATTATTAAATGGGAAAAACGAGTAATGTGCAATTTAGCAAATTTTAGAGAACTTAAAAAACTAAAATGAAAATCACGAGAAAGTTTCAATAACCATATGTTTAAGTCTTGAGAATACTGTAAGGATGACTTCTAAAGGAGGAGTGATTTTCAAAAATCAACTCGAGATGGGACTCGAAATACAAAATAATATAAAGTTTAGGCACTAAATTATAATTAGTGAGAAAGATATACTTCTATTTAATGACGAGAAAGATCGCTAAATTCTAATGATTTTGATTTAGACATTTGAGGGATTGAAGTGAAAATAAATTTCGAGGTCAATAATATTTTTGAGCCAAACATGTATTTATTAGAGAATTGAGAATTACCCTATCAATATTGGACTTATTTCAAAAATCGTATTAAAGGGCACATTACGAACTTGAGAAAAATCAATTTCAATAAATCAAGTTCGAGTTATGACACATTAAAGTAAACTACTTCATGGACAATGTTAGTTTTCAAATCAGATCGTATTACTGTAAGGATATTGGGTCTGTTTGGTAGTTCGTAATTAATTATGTATATGTTAAGCTCAAGAAAGAAAAAAATTTAAATAAATCGAACTAAGTTAGAATCGATCAAAGAAAATTATAGTTAATGAACATTTAAGAGATTAATTCCTCATTTTTTTTAGTAATTACTAATTAGCAAGTTTAGAGATTCTAGATCATTGTCTAGTTTGCTTTGGCCTAAGGCCAGCCTTGGTCAAAAGTAAGTCTTTCAAGATTAGACGTAGTCGAGATGTCAAAATTACGATAATATCGGTCAAAACTCGTTCATTAAACAATTACTTATACCTAATTGGACCACGATTTTTAATAGAGGGACCAATGAAAGTTCAATTATCCCCTAATTTGAGAGAGAGAAAGAGTCTTAAATTGACCAATGCTAATTACATGTATTATATAATAATTATTCTTGAGATTTTTCAAAGAAGAATTTTAGTTGTAAATTAAAAATAAATTAAAAATTTATAACTATAACATCAAATTGCTGTATGACACCTTGCCAACTACCTTTTAAAATTAAAGATCACGTGATTCATGTCCAAAAATGTATTAGCATACGAGAATATTAAAAATTGAAAAATTAGAATACCAACGAGAAAGAATCTAAATAATAGCGTTTAAAGTTGAACTTGCAGTGACATCGAACTACATAATTTGAGATAGATTAAAAGTCCTTGTTTGATGTAGATTAAGGTCCTGTTTGAGTCAAATTATTGTCGAATGAGAATGAAAAATATAGCCATTGCCTACATAAGAGATATAAATTTTGAATTTAAATGTTGATGTGATGGATAACGGTCATACTTTTCATTTTAATGAGATAATAATGTAGATCAAACGGGGACTAAAACTAAATTTTGATAAAAGAATGATGAAAAGTATAGTTTAAAACAATATATATTTAAGAAAAAGGGTTATTGATTGGAGTTATGAATTGATGTGGATGTGGTGAGATTAGAAACGGAAATGTTTAAAAATCTCAAATCTGTAATCACAATAATTGCACACTTTTTTTTTTTTTTGTTAGTTATCAGCGTCCCATTACAAATTAGCATATCTGTATAACAGGGTTGTATCAAGATTATCATATCGATATATGCAGATAATGCGGATATATATATACACATATACATACAAAAACACACAGTACTGGAGATGATACCATCCGTTGAAAATTTCGATGGACGGTGGAGAAGGTTTGTCACACACACTGATGACCAAGCCCCACCCCCACCCACCCAACCACTGTCTCTCTATATATATGTGCATATCTCTCTTTTACTTTCAACTGAAATAAAAAGTCTTGCCGGCGGTTCTTTGGCGACTGAATTCTCTCTTTATTCTCTGCCTTTCCGATTTACTATTGCATCTGTCGTTCATTGTCCATGTCAAAGCAGCCCTCTTTTCGTTTCCTTCGATCTCTATCTGTTTCTGTTGAACAGAAAATTATAATTCAGAGCTGGACTTGTTGATTTATGAGAATTTTATCAAGGAACAATTAATAGCTGTTTCTGTTTTCATCTGCTGGGTTCCAAGTTTCATTCCTTTTTATGTTAATTTCTTGGAATAATCGGTGATTCTGGGTTTTTAGGCTATAATGCTTGTTGGGTTTTTGAGTTCATGATTGATCTTTAGCTCTGATCGAATTTATTTTGGGGGTTTTTTATTTTTATTTTTTTTCCGTAAGAAAGCAAAAGAAAACATTTTTGTTTTCCTGAATCGGAAAGGGGATACTTTTTCGTATAGATCTGTTCTTTCTAATTCTGTAGTGTTATTATTGTTAGCTTTTTACTTAACATATTTAGTATTTAGAATAGAAAAAAAGGAGGAAAGGATAAGAGAAACTGCTGTTTATTATAGTTATATTTTTATTATTTATCTTTTATTCGTTTAGGGCACTTTAAGGATAAGATTAGTTGAAAGTTAAATTCTCTTTTAGGTTCAGAAGCTTGTTCTTGTTTCTATTCTGTCTGAAAGGATGAAATTCGTCGATAAAAGGGGATGGATTTTTGTAAATGAAGTGGAGATTTGGATGGTGTAATTTAAAGGGTGCCTGAATATTCGTTACTTGAGACAATTTAATGTTATTTTTGCCATTGTTCAATTGTGGAATAAGGGGAGAAATTTCTTGATTGAGTGGACTGGGGAGTGAATATATATAGCTTGGAAGGATTTTTCACTAAATTTGTGACGGATCCAAATACGGAAAATAGGGGGGGTGCCTGTTTGGCTGGACTGGAGTGCATACTGGAAATAATCAGGTCCCTGATAATGGGATGCTGCTTGTCCAGTGAGACCAGGAGTCCGCTTCCTGGTTCTCCGTTGGAGGTAGGGAAGAGGAATGGCTCGAGAAGTAGGCTGGGGTCTCGAAATCCATCCTTTGATTTTAGGAGGGATGAACAACTACGTAAGACTCCAGGCCGTATGTTCTTAAACGGCTCCAGCGAGGTTGCTTCTCTCTTTACCCAGCAAGGCAAGAAAGGAACCAATCAAGATGCCATGCTTGTTTGGGAGGTTAGCTTCTTCTTTCTTCGCCTTAATGTGATCATTTTGAATGTTATTATTAATATGGTTTCAATATTAGTCATAATCCAATGGGATAATGGTATATAGTCTAAGACAAGTGATATTTGTAATTTCTGATTTATTGTCTCTCTTTTTTATGAGTTAAACCAAATGGTATGCCTAATTGTTTCTTAGATGGGTATATGCAGCAGAAAAATCATGTACTTTCTTGCTTAATATGGGCTATAACTAAAATAGTAGTAGTCGATCCAATTTGGCACTTTGGGCCTACACTTGAGCACAAAAGTTTTTGCTGACCTGCCTGTTTCTTAAGATTTTCTGAAGTGAGATCCTAATCTTGTTTTTTAATATCATATTTTTACATTTTACGTGTTTAATGACAGATTTGGCTTCGAGGATTTCAGTTACTACATCATATTTTGTGTTTAGCTAAACTTGGGATGATTATTTCACGAAAGGATAGAAATTATCGATAAAATAAATAACTCATAAGAATTCAAGTCAGATTATCATTGGTATCTTTTAATGTTTTTGTTCGTTTCAAGTTGCTTGCAAGATTGCCTTTTACTGATTTTTTTGTGAAATTGGATTTCTAGAATTTTGGTTCAAGAACAGGCACGGTCTTCTGTGGTGTTTTTGACGGCCATGGTCCCTATGGTCATTTGGTTGCAAAGCGAGTCAGAGATTCTCTTCCTTCAAAACTGAGTGCACATTGGGAAGTTGATATAAAGAGTGATGAGGTTCTTAGGGAGGTCAGTTTGAATAGTACGGGAAGTAGGTGCTCTGAAGATACCTCTTTATTAACCCTTGATGAGTCATCTAGAGCTTCCATTGATCTTGAAGAAGCTCAAAAGCATCCAGAGTTTTTCCAGACACTGAAGGAGTCCTTCCTAAAGGCTTTTAAGGTTATGGATCGGGAACTGAGAATGTATTCAAATATTGAATGCTTCTGCAGTGGGACAACAGCAGTGACTCTAGTGAAACAGGTATACCGATAAGTTCAGAAGTGATACGAACGTGAGTTCGCGGTTGTGTTATCTATGTACTCAAGTATGACTTGATTGTGATCTGCAGGGTCAGGATCTCGTAATTGGAAATGTTGGGGACTCTAGAGCTGTATTGGGTACAAGAGATGAAAACAATTCACTTGTTTCAGTCCAGTTGACTGTGGATCTTAAACCAAACCTTCCAGGTACTCTCTCTCTCCAAGAAAGGAACAAGAACAAGCAAAATACACTTCAAAATAAGAATCAGTTCTTACATGTTCTGAAGTAGAAATTATATTCAATTCATAGAGTTTCTAATTAGTACTGTAAGAGCTGCACAATATAGAGAACACAAGAATATAGAGGAGAAGAAAGGGAAGGAAGCAGGAAGAAGAAAATAGGAGAGATATAAAGAGAGAGGAAAGACAAGGGAGGAAGAGGAGAGAGAATTTGGGCCTTGTTTCATTGACAACTTTGAATATTGTATGGCGTACCAGTTTCCCCTTTTTTTCTCTCTAGGTTCCATCCCATCGCGGCATGCTCTCTCTTTTTCTCCTTTCTTCTCTCTTCTTGTCTCTTTTCGGTTTTCTCTTATATAATAAATTAGTGACTATTTATTGTGTACTACATCGAACCTTTTAATTAGACACAAACTTTTTGGCTGTTTTCTTTAACCTTTCGAGTCTAAATTTTCCTGATCTGTAAATCAGTAATAGCTGAACAGAAAAACCTTGTATTTGTATGGTTGAATAGTTACGCATTTAAGTACAACCTCTATTACTTACCTCCCAATCTTTTATGTGCTAAACTTATGCACACTCGCGAAGACGTGAGTAAATCCTCTTTTGTGCTTTTGATTGTTTTTCTTTTCTTTTTGGCTAATCTCAATTTTTATCTGCAAATTTTCCACATATTGCACTTATGCCGAGTTTCGAAGACCAACCTGATAATATTGACTGTTCTTCCATTTCACTCCTTTTCTGTTGTTTAGCCAAAACCTTGGCGGTGATTTACAGATCAAGCATATACTTGTCTGCTAGATGATGTATTGAGTGGTTGGGTTCTGGTAGAAACATTAATCAGATGCTGATATGACAAATATTTTCAAACAGACAAGACAGAAACAAGTTTTGATGTGTTTGAAAATATCAAAATCAGGTATCTAGTAGTTGATTGGTGGGCTAGCGAGGTCTAAATAATAAACAAGGCTATGAGAAGTCGACCAGACTACATTTTATGGAATTTATCAAGCCTAGGTGTTATAATTTATAGTGGAATACTGGCGACAGAAGCATGGTACCCTTGGAAGTGTTTTTGGAGGAAACTACTTCAATTTTTACACTAATTTTTAAAAGAGTTTCCTATTTTGGAAGTGTTTTTAGAGGAAGCTATATTAAACCAGCTTCCTCTAAAAGCTCTTCTAATTACCAGAAATACTTTCATGAAATTAGTCAAACGGTAAAAAAACAGTTTTTGGATCTCAAAAGTTCATTTTGACTTTTTAAAAGTCATGCCAAACGGGTTCTAATAACACCTGTGAATTGTAAAACCCAACATTTGTTGAGTCGGAACTGTAGAAGGGTTCATGTGAATTAGGCTTCGTCACTAACTGGTAGTTGGTAAGTTGCGGTTAACCATCTTGGGCCAGTGAATTAGACTTCAATTTGTACTACTTGGTAGAGGGACCAGTTCGCTAGGCTTTACCCAATTTTGTTATCTGTTTACATTCCCATCTCTTAGAAAGAGGTTACCCATCATTGAAACACAAGCTGGATACATATCAGCAGGAGCTGCGTGGAAATAACACTGCACTTCTATGTATGGGGTAGTGATGTATGTTGAGAGTCGGTGGGAATCAAGTCTTGCCATGATACTCCTGGAGTTATTTAGCCTCCGTTTGGAAAGAACTTTATAAATGGTATAAATATCAGTGTCAAAACATTAATTTTAAATACACATTGATAATTTTTACTCATTATTATTCACACATTTCTTAGGACCCACTACTATTCAGCTTATAAACCATTTATAAATTTGCCAAACGGAGGCGTACTTGTGTCTGAGTGTTACCATTTGTAGGTCTTGGGGTTGAGACTTAGAAACTTTAATAGCTGAAACAACAGGGCAGAGATGCTCCTATTTCCAGAATTTCATTTCACGAATAAATAAATTCAGACTATAACTTATCGGTTTGGTTTTAGATAAAGTGTCTCCTATTTTTTATATCCCTTTTCATTTACCTGATAGCTGAAGCAGAGAGAATCCTCAAATGTAAAGGCCGTGTATTTGCCCTTCGGGATGAACCTGAGGTGGCGAGAGTGTGGCTGCCAAACAATGACTCTCCTGGCCTCGCTATGGCACGTGCATTTGGAGATTTCTGTCTAAAGGAGTTTGGTCTTATCTCTGTACCTGAAATTTCCTATAGACGCATTACTGATAAGGATGAGTTTATAGTCTTGGCAACAGATGGGGTATGGACCATTACATTTATTTCTACTACTATATTTCATTTTGTAAAATTTCCTTAAAGTTTGGCAAATTTTTAATGTACGTTGCAGATTTGGGATGTGCTCTCAAATGAAGAAGTTGTAGGCATTGTGGGTTCTTGCTCCACTCGTTCGTATGCAGCTCGACTGCTAGTAGAGTCTGCAGGCCGGGCTTGGAGGTCCAAATATCCAACTTCTAAGGTTGACGACTGTGCTGTTGTTTGCCTATTTCTTGATTCAAATCCAAACAATTCTACTGCTCCTACCACAGAATTCAAAGAGAATATCACCTCAGAAGATCACGAGGATACCGACAAGAAAAATGATTCCTTTAGTCCAACTGGATTGGATCGCTCTGGCACTGTTAGAACAGGCAAAGAGGCCCGTGGAGGAGACAATGAAGAAACTTCAGATGCAAATGAGGATGTAGCCTCAAATAATGAAGGAAAAAACATGAAGGTCGGAAAAGAGTGGTCTGCGCTTGAAGGAGTATCCCATGTAAACACGTTATTGACTTTGCCAAGGTTTGTCCCAAACAAAGACGAGAAAAAAGCTGCAGGAGAGACAGGCTAGAAATCCTCTTTTGATTTTTATTTTTACTCCGTTTATCAAGTGTTTTTCTTCATTGTCTACAGGAAGGAACAGTTAAAACATTTAGGGAAAATTTTGATATTTATTCCGGACCGGAGAGGTGGGCCCGGCTATATTTGAGTGTCTGGGATCTTCCCTGTTTTATCTTTTGTGGGTAGAATAGGAATTTTGTGCAATCCAACTCTCCATCTTTTCGTTCGTTTCTACATTTTGTAGTCCTTGAAATTGTGTAATTTCTATCCCTTTACGTTGGATAATATTTGCGTTAATGCAAGCTTCTTTCAGTGCAACTTGTCATTGATTAATGCTTTTCCACTCTAATATTGTTGGTAGTGCAGCTTTCCTTTCTTGCAACTTGTAGGTGATTTGCTGATTTTCTAGGACTAATGAATGGCAAGTGCTTTTTGGTGTATGGATCCTTTTTTTTTTTTTGGCTTCTACTGTTGTTTTCTTGAGAAGTTTTTTCACAGATCTTCACACGATTCATGGGATCTTGGTTCCCATATTCTTGGATTCAGTCAACTATTGGTTGTCCATTTCCACCACTTAATTGTTTGTATGGTCTCTGAGTTTGCAATGAATTTATCGCATAAAGGTTAAAAAGTCTGCTGAATTGGCCTTTTGGATTTGACAAATTAAGGAATGCCGCACTAGGTGGGAAAAGCTGGAAAAGAAGGAAAAATGGTATTTTCTTGACCATGCGAACATACCACTACACATATTGCATATATGGTTTGGTAGGCTTGACTGAACGTTATTGAGGAATTAAAAAGAATCAATTTTTCGTTTGTTGTATACTCGTATTGTCCACTTTGATCTCTGAATCTGATGGGATCCAAATTTTTGTTGACTTACGGTTGATTATAACATTAAAGTTTTGATTATAACAAAAAAGCTAAATTTTATTTACTAACAAATTGAATTAAGTGATATAATTTTTCAAAGCATGCGATGGAAAATTGATCGATGATCATCAAAAGATTTTATTATCACAAATCAGACCCATGAAGAAAGTCAAGATCGAAGTAGTACATTCAAGAACTTAAGAGCCAACTTCGGAGCAAGATCAAAAACTTGATTTCTTAGATAAAATGTAAATGTACTGACACTTTGATATTTGACAATAAATGCATAAGCTCAAGATCATTCTATGCATTAAAAACAATTTTGTGAATTAAAAGTCATTATAATGCAACAATTTGATCAAATATAATAATGACTTTAAAAAACAATATTTGGACTTGAAAAGTTAGTTAAAAATACTTTTCAAAAGTCAATGCTTTCAAAACCTTCAAATCGGAACAAATGGGGCAAAACGTTAAAAAAAAAAAAAAGAGAGAGAAAGAAAGACCGAACTGTCGTGGTTGATCGAAAGTTTCCAATAGTCCAAAATTTGACCATTATGACACCTGATTTTTACTATACAAACGGCTGTATTGATCATCCGAACGAGGTGGTCAACTAGACAAGTCATCCAAACTCCCAAATTTTTTTAACGTTTTGAACTCTATAAATACATTTACTTCTTACATTCAATATAACATTCTAAAAGAATATCAACGTGAAATTTCTTTAAAACTTACATTTACATTCAATTCATTTATTTTTTCTTATAAAAAATTTTGATTTGTTCAAACTCTTTAATCATGATTTTCATCAAAGTTTTCATCTCTTTTTGTACTTAACTTATTTCTATTCTCATATAAGAGAGATATATTTTGAAGAAGATTTTTGAACTTACATTGCATATATTTCTTCAAATTGAAAACTTTGATTCATTGAAACAAACTTGTAATTCATCATATTTATCAAAGTTTCTCATTTTTTCTCTTAATACTTAATTTATTATAATCATTAATTAAAAAAGAGATATATTTTGAGAAAATTTTTGAACTTACATTTTATTTATTTCTTCTACATCTTCTCATGGAAAAACATTGATTGATTGAATCAAATTTCTAATTACCATATTCATCAATTTTCATCTACACTTGAGTTATCATTTATTACTATTAATTAAAGTGTTAATCTCTTTTAGTACTTAATTCATTTGTATCATTTATTAAGAGAGAAATTTCATTGTAAAATCATTGCTCCAAAACTTGTGAGTCGTATTGAGGTCATGTGAAAGCTCAAAAGTATAAGGATCGATGCTCATTATTGTATGTTATCGTGTGGATCATATTGTGGTCCTGTAAAGTTCAATATTATGTAAGCTCTGATGGTCCTTGTTTGTAAGTCATCGGATGCATTGTAAATGATTGAATTGTACCATAAGTTGATCAATATAGTAAAAATGTCTTGCTCGTGTCAGAGAGTTTGGTAACGGAGGACGTAGATTATTGCTTTGGATTGAACCTCCACAATTATATTGTTTGCATTATCTCTCCCTTCTAATTGTCGTTTTTATATTTGTATTTACTATCTGAATTAATCTATTTAGTCTTTATTTGCTTGAATTTAGATTAATTCTTCAAAAAAAATTTAAAAAACCAACTCACCCCCTTCTTGATTAGTTATTCTTAGGCTATCAGGAATGTATACTTCATGGAAGCGATCACGAACAAAAAATCTCGAACAAATCAAACACTGGGCTCTTGCGAAACTGCGAGCCTAGGCTCTGATATCACTTATTGTGAAACAAACAAGATACCAAAATAGTTTTGATACCACTTGTTATGAAACCAACTAGCGGATTGAGATGTTGAAGTTATATGGTACAATAATGAAGTATTTGATCAAGCAAAAGAATAATAAAGACAAGAAATATGACGATGAATTAAGAGATTTTATTAACTCAAAAATAATGGAGAAGAGAGAAAATTACAATTGATCATATAATTCTACTAATCTATTTTCTCACACTTATTAAATTGTGTAGAATTGTTGATGAAGTATGCCAAAAAAATTGAGTCCAAAACGAAGTAGGAGAAGAAAACGGGAAAAAAAGGGAACAGAGCAGGTAGCGCTGTGATGCCCACCTCCGGACGCTACGGCGCCCATACTCGGTGCTGCGGCGCCGAACAATTTGCCCAATTTTTTTTTTTGTTCCAAATTGTTTTCTCCATCCCGAATTCTTCTTCAAGTCTAATATCAATTTTCAACTCCCAAAATAGAACTTCAACTTGACATAGGATTTCAATAGCATTCCAAACTTGGATTATTCTTGACGTGCACTTCAATTAGAACTCTTCAATATTTCAAACAAGGAATTGGGTCATACCCAAATTCTTAACAAAACACTTTCGCCAGTCTCATAATTTCTGAGATCCTTGTAATTTCATATCATTCTTCCGGATTTTCTTTTATTTATTTTTTCTAACTTTTGTTTCTGTTTATGCAGTTTGAATTTTCGACATGCATGTGGTGGATATACATGATGAAAATTATAAAATTTCAAGAATGCATAACCATTTATCCCATTATAATACGTTGTCAACAAAAGAAAATGAAAATGAAAACTGTATTTCATATGTTATTCACTGATTCATAAAAGTGTATCAGGGTGGTATAATCTTGGGGCCATCAGTACTAGGACGAAGAACCAAATTTGCAAAAACTGTATTTCCTCTTAGAAGTGTAATGGTACTAGAGACAATGGCAAATGTAGGATTTCTTTATTTCATCTTTCTAGTTGGAGTAGAAATGGACATTGTTGTTATTCGGCGCATGGGCAAAAGGGCCTTGGCTATGCCGCTATGGTATTACCTTTCCTGATAAGCGTTTCATTTGCCTTCATGTTGCATAAAGATACACGGCTTATAAAACTGGGAACTTTCATACTTTTCCTTGGAATGGCACTTTCTGTTGCTGCATGATAGAAAAACACAAAAGGATTATCGATCAAAACAATAATCAAATCATTTATCTCATATAATAAACCCTATATTCATCTCCATGTTGAATTCCGAGAAAATAACTAAATAATATCCAATTACACAACTGTGTCCAAAACATAAAGCAATGAAAATACAAACTCCCACTTACAGACATAAGACTCCCATAAGCTGATGCATAGGGAATCTTCTGCATTTCCTTAATTTCAAGGTTATTTTGCGCGCTTTGTTCGAGACTAAATTAATTTCTAATTATCATATTCATCAATTTTCATCTACACTTGAGCTATCATTTATTACTATTAATTAAAGTGTTAATCTCTTTTAGTACTAAATTCATTTGTATCATTTATTAAGAGAGAAATTTCATTGTAAAATCATTGCTCCAAAACTTGTGAGTCGTATTGAGGTCATGTGAAAGCTCAAAAGTACAAGGATCGATGCTCATTATTGTATGTTATCGTGTGGATCATATTGTGGTCCTGTAAAGTTCAATATTATGCAAGCTCTGATGGTCCTTGTTTGTAAGTCATCGGATGCATTGTAAATGATTGAATTGTACCATAAGTTGATCAATATAGTAAAAATGTCTTGTTCGTGCCGGAGAGTTTGGTNTGTCTTGCTCGTGTCAGAGAGTTTGGTAACGGAGGACGTAGATCATTGCTTTGGATTGAACCTCTACAATTATATCATTTACATCATTTCTTCCATTTTATTTATTCCTTTCACATTTGCATTTATTTGAACTAATCTATTTATTCTTTACCTGCTTGAATTTAAATTAATTTTTTTAAAAAAATTTAAAAATCAATTCATCCCCTCTTTATTAGTTATTCTTGGGCTATCAACTTTAACAAATTTCACTTCTTCTATCATGTATTTATATGTTACCTGTCCACTTGGACACACAAGTTACTGGAACAAATCATCATGCCAAAGCAGGAGGTACAACAATCATATGCACTCTGGTGCGCGTGTTAAAATACTAACAATATTTGAGTGTGGGGAAAACACGAAAATACGGGAATACGAAAGTCGAGTATAATTTATATGACTCTAGATTAAGTTACCCTCCAATTGACACATGTTGAGTACTTAGAGGCCAAAGAGGAGTGGATGAGATCCTAAGGATGCTTGACACATGGG